CCCCAACCTGGCCCAATATCCTCTCCAAACCCGCCCCCTCCCTGGACTGTACCCCCATCCACCCTGCCGATCCGCCCCGCAGCTGCTCACCCATGGCACGGTGGACCCGTCCCCGCCCCTGCACAGGGGTGCTTGTCTCTGTGCCCTCTTCATCCCCCGCTATGCTGGGCCCGCTGTGTCCTCTCCAACTCCCCCTTTCCCCACCTCCCACCTGGAGGCTGAGGAGTAGAGCCCTTTGGAGAAGCTAAGGCTGGCTAGAGGGCCAACCTTCCAGACCCCAGCCCCGGATTGCCTTCCTCACTTCTGCCCTCGCAGCACCGCAGCGTCTGCAAAACCCCTGGGCCAGCCCCTCCCTCTCTCAGTCTTCTTTCCCCTCTGCACACAGCAGGGGTGGGCCAGCACCCCTTCCTCTTTGAGGGCAGGGTGTCCCCTCCTGCCCCTCCCAGTGTCACCAGCTCAAAGATGGTCCCCCTGTCTTAGGTCCCTCTGGTGGGGACAACGCCTTTCAATGTCATGTTCAAGTCCTCTCCCCACTCCCTCCAGTATCGCCCACCCCCAGCTGGCCTGCGGCCTCTTTAGTGTTTAACGGGACCAAGTCCAAACTTGGGGCTGCCTCATTCACCCTAGTTCCTCCTGCACCCTGTGCTGACCCCACTGCCTGCCTTTGTTCAAACTCCGCCCCTCCACCCTCCTCCGGTGCCTGCCCAACTCCTGCTCCTTCCCAGAACCCTCTCTGCTCCCAGGCTGGTGGGCTCTCGGGGCAACCTCCTCCCCCAGCCTCCCCCAGCCTCCCCCATAGGCTTTGGACCAAGCCCTGGGCAGGCAGTGGGACACACAGCATCTGCCATAGCAGATGATGGAGGGGGCAGTGCAGGAACTGGCCTAGATGAGGGAATAGCGGGGCAGTGGCGGTGCTGAGAGACTAGAAGGAGGGGCCAGCCTACAAGCACAGTCCCCACGGGCACCAAGCAGGGTCTTCTAGTAAACCCCTCATAGCTCACATCAGCCCAGCCCCCCCAGGGATCCCCAGACCAGAGGGGAAACAGACATGCCTGGGTGCAGGAGCAGCTGTGAGGTGTGAAGCTCGCTGCCTAGGAGGGCACAGCTACCCTGTCACTGGGGGAGCAGCCAGTGACATTAATGAAGTTAAAACTTCATGTGACCTCTGACTCCACTAACAGGAAAAGGCTGTGACCAAGGTGACGCAGCCAAGCAGCTGCATCGTTAGGGGCCGTGAGTAACCAGAAGCAGCCTGCGTGACCATCCACGGGACAAGGTGAAGGAGGCGTCACATGTGAGCCCACAAGGCAGGGAAAGTGAGGGGCAGAGAGATGGGAAGGGGTGGACAGAACCATGGAGAAGAATGCAGGGAGGGAATTGCAACAAGACCCAAGGGCTTTCACCTCCTGTGGTCTGGGAGCGCCACATGTGAGCCCACAAGGCAGGGAAAGTGAGGTGCAGAGAGATGGGAAGGGGGTGGACAGAACCATGGAGAAGAATGCAGGGAGGAAATTACAACAAGACCCAAGGGCTTTCACCTCCTGTGGTCTGGGGAGCATGGCCAGGTGCTGAGGGTGGGGGTGGCTGTCCTCACCCTGTGTCCCCGAGGCCCCAGCGAGTGAGGACTAGAGCTGCTGACTCAGTGGAGGAGCAGAGATCTCTGCACACAGCCCGTGAGCGCCCACTCCCAGGGCCGTGAGGGAGGCTCCTCCTCTGGCCTTACCTGATCTCAGCAAAGAGCACAACAGAGCAATGTCTTCTCAAGGACTTCCAGGTGTCCAGAAAAGAGCAACCGCTCACAGGGAAAGTTGCTCGGGAAAAGGATGCAAAAGCTGCTAAGAATCTCCGAGGAGCAGGGAAGCACCTTGGGGACGCCTTTACAGATGGAGAAAAATCAGGCGGATCTGCCCAGCACTCTCCCTGATGCATGTGGAGAGGAACATGCATTCGCCCTCCTCGACAACGGCTGTAATGTCTTGGTGCGTGTGTGTGTGTGTATGTGTGTGTATGCACATGTGTGTCTGTGTGTGTGTGTACACACCATACATGTTCTTGGTCCAGTAGAAGCATGGGAGGAAGAGCACAGGATGAATTTCTGTAACACATTACCGTAAGTTTGATAGCTTAAACAATAGGACTTTAGACAGCCCACAGGATGGGACAAAATATTTGCAAAGCATATATCTGGTGAAGGATTACTATCCAGAATATGTAAAGAGTGCCCACAGTCCAACAACAACAAGAAGCATATAACCCAATTCAACAACGGGCAAAGGCTCTGAACAGACATTTCTCCAAAGAAGATATAAGAATGGTGAGTAAGCACATAAAACATCACTAATCAGTAGGGAAAATCAAATTAAAACCATCATGAGGTACCACTTCACACCTACACAATGGTATTATTTTTTAAAAAATAGACAATAACAAGTGTTGGCAAGGATGTGGAGAAATTGGGACTCGTGTGCACACCGCTCATGGAGATGTAAAATGGTGCAGCCACTGTGGAAACAGTCTGGCAGGGCCTCAAAAAGTGGAACATGGAATCACTATATGATCTAGTTGTTCCACTTTGGGGTTTATGCCCAAAAGACAGACTATAAATAAGCACTGGAGAAGGCCGAGAGACATGAAAACATGCTCAAAGACACTAATCATCCGAGAGATGCAAATCAAAACAACAATGAGGTACCATCTCACACCTGTCAGAATGGCTATCATCAACAAATCAACAAACGACAAGTGCTGGCGAGGATGTGGAGAAAAAGGAACCCTCGTGCACTGCTGGTGGGAATGCAGACTGGTGCAGCCACTGTGGAAGACAGTATGGAGTTTCCTCAAAAAACTAAAAATGGAACTCCCATTTGACCCAGTGATCCCACTTCTAGAACTATATCCCAAGAAACCAGAAACACCAATCAGAAAGGATATATGCACCCCTATGTTCATAGCAGCACAATTTACAATAGCTAAGATTTGGAAACAACTTAAGTGCCCATCAGCAGATGAGTGGATTAAAAAAAACGATGGTACATCTACATAATGGAATATTACACCGCTATAAAAAAGAAGGAACTCTTACCATTTGCAACAGCATGGATGGAACTGGAGAGCATTATGCTAAGTGAAATAAGCCAGTCAATGAAGGAAAAATACCACATGATCTCACACATTCATGGATAATAGAGACCATTACAAACTTTTGAACAATAATAGATACAGAGGCAGAGCTGCCTCAAACAGATTGACAAACTGCAGCGGGAAGGCCGGGGAGGGTTGGGGGGCAGGAGGGAAGGGGGTAAGAGATCAACCGAAGGACTTGTATGCATGCATATAAGCATAACCAATGGACATAAGACACTGGGGGGTAGGGGAGGCCAGGGGATTGTCAAGGGCCGGGGGGGAAAAAAGGACACATATGTATTGGGGAGGCCACTCACTAATCTGCCCTGTGCTCCCATCTGGCTCCTTCTCATCCTTCAGGTCCCACCCAGGGGCTCTGTCATTGTGAGGCTCCCCCTGCCCTCCCCCCAGGGGCTCCCTCAGCTGGGAGTGCCTCCAAATGAGTCCCTGTAATGCAGTGGTTCTCAGCCTTCCTAATGCCGAGACCCTTTACGCCCCCCCCCCAGGGGCTCCCTCAGCTGGGTGGCTGTGCCTCCAAATGAGTCCCTGTAATGTGTGGTCTGTACCCACGCACCTCACCTGGAAGGTCGTGCACTCAACCACCACACCTGGGGGCTGTCTGCACCTGCCAGCCTCACCTGGGAGCCGTGTGTCTGTGGGGTGAGTGCATGTGTGTCTGTCCTAGCAATAGGGTGGCGGTGCCATCTGCAGCCCTTCTTACCAGTGACCAGAGCCCCTGGCATGGCTTGGAGTCAGACACCTCCAGGCACCTTCATCAGTCTCTTAGGCTGCCACGGGGGCCCCACCATTTATTCACTGGAGGCTCCCATGAGATGAGAGCAGGGACCAGCCTCTGATGGCACTTGGGCCAGTGCTAATGTTTAATGAGAAAACGGAGGCCCAGACGATTCAGTCCAAAATGGGGGCCTTGGCCGCTATGTCTTCTGGGCAAACATAATTATATATGTGTTTTCCGATGGTCTTAGGCGACCCCTGTGAAAGGGTCGTTCGACCCCCAAAGGGGTCGTGACCCACAGGTTGGCGACCCACAGATTGAGAACTGCTGCTGTAATATGTGGTCTGTACCCGCCCACCTCACCTGGAAGGTCGTGCACTCAACCACCACACCTGGGGGCTGTCTGCACCTGCCAGCCTCACCTGGGAGCCGTGTGTCTGTGGGGTGAGTGCATGTGTGTCTGTCCTAGCAATAGGGTGGCGGTGCCATCTGCAGCCCTTCTTACCAGTGACCAGAGCCCCTGGCATGGCTTGGAGTCAGACACCTCCAGGCACCTTCATCAGTCTCTTAGGCTGCCACGGGGGCCCCACCATTTATTCACTGGAGGCTCCCATGAGATGAGAGCAGGGACCAGCCTCTGATGGCACTTGGGCCAGTGCTAATGTTTAATGAGAAAACGGAGGCCCAGACGATTCAGTCCAAAATGGGGGCCTTGGCCGCTATGTCTTCTGGGCAAACAGGCTGGAAATAAAGCACCACAGTGAGTGGCCCAGCCCGCCTCGGCTCCCCCAGCCAATTCTG